AGATATGTTTAGCTCTGCAGAAACCAATTTTACGAATTTCATGAAGGTCTGGTGCCAGCTAGTGGTACGTATTATATATGCATCAAAAAGATAATTGATTTTTTTTTTTAAGTAACCAAAGACAACATAGTCTCATCGAGATTGAAAAATTGCTTAAAAACAACATTTAAAGGAATATTGTTTGCCGTGTTGAGGAGAACCAACAGACTGCGCGTAAGAATGGATGTCTTTCTTGGCCGGGCGCAGTGACTCATACCTGTAATCCCAGCACTTTGGGAGGCCAAGACGGGTGGATCACCTGAGGTCAGGAGTTCGAGACCAGCCTGGCCAACATGGCAAAACCTTGTCTCTACTAAAAACACAAAAAATTAGCTGGGCGTGGTGGCACCTGCCTGTAATCCCAGCTACTTGGGAGGCTGAGACAAGAGAATCACTTGAACCCAGGAGGCAGAGGTTGCAGTGAGCTGAGATTGTGCTGTTGCACTCCAGCCTGGGCACAAGAGTGAAACTCCGTCTCAGGAAAAAAAAAAAAAAAATGGATGTCTGGAATGTTCTGTTGTCCTATAATGCTCTGTGTCAACTTCCACTTAGTCATTATGCTCCCATATTCTGATTACTCATGTGTCTGTCGTTCTTATTGTATCAGGAAGTTACTGGGATACGGCTCATGCCTTCGTTTCTGTAATTCACCAGGTGTCACAAGATCTAACAATTAGATGCAGAAAGAAATATTTATTGAATACATAAGAGAATTCAAGAAAAATTATTGCCATATTTCACTTACCACAGTGCATGACTTCTGAAAGCAGTTATTCAGGGGTTATCAGCACTGAGTCATGACCTTAATTATTCAGAAGTATACCAGACAACTTTGGGCCTCTAAGCTTTTTTAATCTTCAAGAATTTCCTAGTTGACTTAGATATTATAGATCTGTTGAACCATTAGCTGTCCCATGAGGCCTCCTTAGAAATTACAAGGCCTCTGAGACAAGCATCCCAGATCCAGCTATTTTAACCATTTAGTCATTAGTAACAAATTTTGAACTGGCAGATTTTATTTTCCTGGGATGGGAGCCGGGTTATAAAACATATCTTACAGTTCAGTCTCTAATAACATTTACTTTTAAAATCAATGCTTTCTTATTAATTTGCTGATATAGTGGTGTTGATAATTGGCTCAAGTGGGAATGTCAGATGTAAGCTAATGGTTCATTAATCAAATTTAAAAGGGCATCATCTTTTAAACATGAGGATGAAACTTCTAATTTCTTTCAGGACTGACAGTCAGATATGTTCCTCTGGGGAGGGGATCTTTCCACTTTATGCCTTCAATGGTTGACACAAAGGGCCATTTGTTAATTATTCCCCCTGGTGTGAAGTAAAATTGATTTGGAATCCTAGCTTGTTACGGAAGGAGTTTTAGAGTTCAAATTAGTTCAGCTTCCTCAGATGTACAAAGAAAATGCAGTTTCTGTATTTTCTATAATTGACATAGTTTTCTCAGAAACCTATTTGAAGGATAGGTTTCAATGCATGTGCTCTGCATGCCACCATATCGAAATAGTTGGTTTCGATGACTCGCTCATTTGTGGATAAATGATCACACTTTCAGTTTTCTCAGCCTTTCTCTGCTGCTATCCAACACTGGTTTTGGAAGAGAGTTTGGAGTCCAGAGGCTTTGTTTTTACAATCTTGTGCAGTGGGGCCTGAGGGCCAAGCACCTGCAGAACATCTTCCAGATCCTTGTCGATTTCTGCGATAGGCGGGTTGGTGTGGGCTGCTCCCAGGACAGCTGCAACAGGTACCATCTCATCACCTGGAACTCACTGCTGAAGTCTGTTTCAGACATCTGCTTCCAGCATAAAATCCCTGCACACTGTGGCCTTTGTCCCAACCTCAGGCTCCCATCCACCCACTATTCTTAGATCTTCTGTGCCTTTTACTACTGTGGCATGCAAGAAATTCCAGATGCCTCGACTGCCACATGAGAGGGTTGGGAAGCACTGCCTTAAGCTCATCTTTCTTGCTACCACCCATATGATATAAAATTCATGTTGACTCTGATCACATGTGGAGCTGCTTCTATGGGCATGGGACTAACTACCTCACAGGCTACCTCATACTTGTCTGGGATTTTTTATTTCTCCCTGTTACCTCTCCTTCTTCGAGTTTCTTCGACAGAGGAGAAAAATGAGGCATCTGCTGAGCTCAGTATCTTACCTTTATCTTTCGTTGCCTCCAGGTCATGAAGAAACATGCTTTCCTTTTCCTGGATATTATATCCTAATTTTTCCCATCCCTTAACATATAGAAAAACAATCTCCATGACGTATCTTATCATACTTGGCTCTTTTTTTAAAAAAAAAAGAGAGAGCGAGAGAGAGAGAGAGAGAGAGACAAAATGTCACCCTATCACTCAGGCTGGAGTGTGGTGGCTCGGTCACAGCTCACTGCAGCCTCAGACTCCTCAAAGCAAGTGATCCTCCCACCTCAGTCTCTCAAACTGCTGAGATTACAGGCATAAGCCACTGCACCTGGCACTGTGCTTGGCTCCTGATATGTTGATAGCAGTTTAAAGAATTTTACTGCCTTCCTTTCCATTATGGCTTAGGCTTAGGGATGGAAGGTTGCAAAGAAATAGAAATTGAATCGAAAATGAAAACTCGATCCTTTAGTGTTTTAAAAACCTTGTCTTTGTTACACCTAGATCATGGTTGTAAACTCTGGCTGCATATTAAAATCCCAGGGGTCTTTTGAAAAAACAAATGCCTAGACCAACCATAAAAAAAATCAAACCAGAATATCAGATACTCAGCAACCAGATGCTGGGGTAGTTTAGTGCATTGCTCAGTGTCACTTAGGAAATTAGTCCCACCCAGCTGGGTGCCCTTCCTCCCTCCTACACGGCTAAGCCGACCACTGTGCTGAACCAGTGATTTCTATTCCTAAATAGATACGCACACCAAACTCATAATTTGTTTAATGTTTGCAGTACAGTGTGTGTGTGTGTATGTGTAGTATATACATATTCTACAAAAAAAGAGAAAAAAATGTTTTCCTCATTTACTTCCTTATCCATTATAATATTATGGTGGAGTTTTGGCCCAACGGCTATGGTAGCAGGAGATGGTTCTTTAAGGAAAGTGTCCTCTATCGTCATTACACAATGAGCTGATTCCTGTTACTGTAGTGAACAGCTGACTCTGCCAATCGCATCAGCTCTGCCTTTTTGCCCTTCCTTCCCAACCCCATCCCAACTCCACAGTAGACTTTGGCATTCACAGTTTCTCTGGAGTCACTTCTAAGGACATCTAATGCTTTAATTTCTTGCAATCTGTGGGAAGAAGCAGAGAAATTGAGCAGAGACATGCAACTTGATGGTTTGTTTATTTGTTTTGAGATAGAGTTTCACTCTTGTCGCACAGGCTGGAGTGCAGTGGCGTGATCTCAGCTCACCACAACCTCCGTCTCCTGAGTTCAAGTGATTATCCTGCCTCAGCCTCCAGAGAAGCTGAGACTACAGGCGCCTGCCACCACGTCCAGCTAATTTTTGTATTTGCAGTAGAGATAGGGGTTCACCATGTTGGCCAGGCTGGTTTTGAACTCCTGACCTCATGATCCATCCATCTCGGCCTCCCAAAGTGCAGGGATTACAGGTGTGAGCCACCGCGCCTGGCTGATGTTTTTTACTAATACCAGACATCCTTAAATCCTGCACCAAAAGTAAAGGAAACACAGTCCATGCAGCCATTAACTTCTCATCACTTCTAAAGGATGTGTGATGTCTAAGCCCTTTCTAAATTTAAGCTACCCTGTATTTTTGAATCTCCTGTCTTCTCTGTTTCCTGATTCATATTCTCTCCCTTCCCCTCTTCTTCCCCCCTCCTCCCCTCTCCTCCTCCAAATACACAAGAAGCTTGCAGCTATTTGTTTCTGTACAACAGAACAATAAATCCGACAAGATGAGACTCCTGAGGTTGTCAGGAAACTAACAGCAGGCTGCCGATACTTCTCCAACCCCTCTGTTTTAAAGGGGTTCACCTGCGCTTAAGGAAAAGGAAGGTCGGGAATTTATCAGAAGAAGCATGGCATCTTATTTACCAGTTTCTTTCTCCATCTTTCCCATGTTAACCATTGTATATTCTGTCTATGGCAAACAAAGATTCCTAGTCGCTGGGTTTCACAATCCCTGTAAGACAGTTCATTCTGGGAGTTGAGCTGGCTCAACTAAATGCCATTTGAGCTTTCCAACTTGGGAAAAGCAAGCCACCCATCTAATAACAGCCTTTTTTTTTTTTTTTTTTTGCGATGAGTTTCGCTCTTATTGCCCAGACTGGAGTGCAATGGTGAGATCACGGTTCACTGCAACCTCCACGTCCCATGTTCAAGTGATTCTCCTGCCTCAGCCTCCTGAGTATCTGGGATTACAGGTGCCCGCCACCACGCCCGGCTAATTTTTTATATTTTTAGTAGAGAGAGGGTTTCACCACGTTGGCCAGGCTGGTCTCGAACTCCTTACCTCAGGCGATCCACCCACCTCAGCTTCCCAAAGTGCTGGGATTGCAGGCATGAGTCACTGCACCTGGCCCAGCATCACTTTTTATAAAAAGGGAACTCTGCAAGAGGCTGTCTGCAGACAACTAGCAAGGGGGATCGGCCCGTTTGTCCAGGAGCGCCCTCACTCTTTCTGTTGGGTTTGTGGCTATAAATATTGACACCACTTTCACATGTGCAGCCCAACTATTTCTTTTTCCTGTTTCTCTGGGAGTTATTTGAAGATGGCATCTGAAGGCCTTTAAGTGTGAAGAGTTAAGAAGTATCATGTCTTTTATGACTGGCCACTGCTGATGGGACTGGCTGTGGCCATCCAGAAAACACTTCCCTTGATTTGTGTCATTGTGGCATTTGCTTGGGTTCTGGAGAGCGAGTCATTCATGATTGTTCTGGTCAGAAATTTCATGCCCAAAGATTCATTTGTCTCTCTGTTTTTCCATTTCCAGCCTGGATGTGTAAATACAACTGAAGTGGACATTAAGAAATCATCCAGAATGAGAAACCCCCACAAAACACGGAAGGTAAAACTGACATCTGTTGTGCTGATCTTGGTGATGGATTGCATTGTTTACAGGATGTCAACCATGAACACTTTCTTCCCATGTCATGGAGTATCTTCCTCACTCTTCCCAGCCCTCCACAGCCCTCCCTTCTTCAAGAATATCCCCATCCTGATGCTCAAGCACACCAGGGTCCCAAGACAGAGCGGTGGTACTGACTAACTGACAGGAGAGGAACAGGAAGTGGAGGACCCCCTTCCTCTCCCAGAGAAGGGTGTGGCCTTCAGAGCCCGGGAAAGGAGGAAAAGAAGATGGAGGTTTTCTAACGATGATTTCTAAGGAAATCTAAGGATGATTTCTTTAGAAATCATCCTTAGAAAACCTGATACTGATGAGAGAAGGGCATTTTAAAACCCGAGGAAAGGGGGATATCTAAAAGATATTTAATTACAGAAAGAGCGCAGGGACCCCCTCTTAACACTAGAATTTTGTGACACAACCATAAGACAGTGGTTGTATTTCAGTGTTCGTTATCTGAGAGAATATCGGTGTGCAGGGTGCAGAGAAAGCTATTCCGAGTTCAGTGACATTTTAAATAACCCTTTGAAAATGCATAGCGATAGTCTCTACATATTTTTTAAAACAACACGTACAACTAGAAGGGATTTTTATTCATTCCATAAAACATGCTTGATGTACACAAGAATTTCTGGCCTGTAGCAGTCACTTTGAGAACACAGCTTATTGATTGGTCCTGCAGGATTAATACATCCCACAAAGTTCAAGGTCTTCTTTTCTGTGACTATTTCCTTAGTATTTCTTCAGCCATAGTGTTTACCAGAGTCTGTGTCCCTGCAGTAAGCACCCAATATTTTTTTCTAGTCTTATTTTATGTTGCCTTTTCTCCCATCCCTAGAAACATATAGCTTCATGTTCAAAGGCCCCAGTATGGTCCAAGTACCTTTTCTTTCTTTTAAGGCAGTTTACCTTGATGTTAGGATAAACAAGCCGAAGCAAAGCACCACAAAACCAATTCAGATGCGGTGCTCAAATGTATCTGCCCCTAGGAACTCTCCGAGGGAGAGGCGAAGTCAGACCAAAGCAAGCCTGTCTGGTCTGTTTCTCTTGTGACTGGCCCTGCTTAATTGCTTTCATCTTCTGCTCACAGCACATCCTGAGGGCACCAAGAGCTAGTTTTGCAGAACAAGATTCAAAAATGCTATCAGCTCTCCAAAAAGTGCATTAAGCCACCTCTCTCCACTTTCTGAATAGTGAAATTACTCTTCGAAATACTTTATTGGGTGTCCTGTTTCCTCCAACAGACACTAACCCAGACATGCTGTGATTCAGAAGAGAAAGCACATGAATTGACAAGATAGCACTTAGACACAATAAAGGCATCATTTATACTCTCTTTTCGGCACCATCTTCAGTATTGATCATCTTTCTTGTGTTTCACATGGCACCCTTCTTTTTGAACATTTGAGAAGCATTAGTTTACAATGTTGTTCTTCACATACCATCAGCCCTCATTTAATGATGAAAAGCCCATGAGGCATTGCAAGGTGAAATATTGTAAAAAAACAGAATCATTGAGATCTAGCTCTCTTTGTTTCAATAACATCTCATTTCTTGTGAATCAATAATGATAGAATGACAGGGCCTCACTCCAGAGCTGTCTGGCGCTAACATTTGCCAGGAGAAAACAAAAGTCCTGAAAAATCTGACAGCAATTAACAGGTATGCCCTTATTTTCCACAGTTGGAGAAAACTGATTTTTCTCACCTTTTGATACATATAGTTTCTCACAGTCAGAAGTGTTCAATTTGCTAGAATCTTCGCAGAGGATAATGTTATTTTACATGGAAGGTTATACGACTCCCAGCCACATACTAATATGTTTTTCTTAGAAGTTTCACCACTGATACTTCATATGATATGAAGTATACAACTATGATATGCTCATAGTTGTTTAGGAACTGTAATGATCCACTGAATTAGCAAAATTAAGGAGTCTCTGCTCTATGCCAGACAAGTCCTGGGCTTTAGGTACTCCACAGTAAATGGGACAGTCAGGGCCTTGCTCCCCCTAATTCATGGTCTCATAAGGGTACAGGTATTGAGCAAGGAGACAAATGTCTGTATATGGATATAAGTTTATGATTTCGTCAAGCTTTATGTAGTCTGCTGGGGCCGCCTTAACAAAATACCGCAAACTAGGTGGTTTAAAGAGTAGGAATTTGTTACCTCATAGTTACGGAAACTAGAAGTTCAAGATCAGGGTGGTGGCAAGTTCAGTTCCTGTGGAGTGTCTCTTCCTGGCTTGGGGATGGCCGCCTTCTCCTATGCTCAGTGGCTTTTCCTGTGTGTGCATAGAGACAGAGAGAAAAACAAAACACAACAACCCACTCTGGGTCTCTTCCTCTTCTTAAAAGGACATCAGTTCTATTATATTAGTTCCCACCCTATAACCCCACCTAACCTTCATTTCCTCTTCACAGGCCGGATCTCCAAATACAGCTGTGTTGGGGGATAGGGATGCAATGTAAGAATTTGGGGGAGGGGACACAACTTCACCCGTGACATATGACAAAGGGAATTTAAGTGATTTGTGCTTGTAATTGCCACTGCATTTTATCAGTGAATATCTTGACAGCAATCAGCAAGCTGTTTCACCACCCTCTGAGGGGTCCACAGCTCTGTGTCTGAGGAGCAGGCAACACTGTGAGATCCCAAGCCACAGAGGCCAGCCAGTCGCCCCTGGGCACCACCCTTCCCTTCCGCCATAATTGGGCTCTGTAGCAGAGCCCAATGTAGCGCGTCCTCCCGGCTGTGCGGTCGGCCTCAGTCTTTATACTGCGGCTGCTCAGGAAGTGGAACCTATGGAACACGCTTAATCTTTGAAAGCAGATAATGCTCGTAGCAAGGAGAGCTGCTGACCATTTCTTTGGGAGCGAGCTGTAACAATTTTCCTGTGATTACGTGCCATAACAAGAGTAAAGGACCCAGTAAATCCCTCAACTAACAGTCTAGCATAGGTGCCTGAAGAATATCAGAGTCATTCCACATTTCATTTGGGAATGTTGTATCTAATTGTTGAATTTTTGACATGTTTATCAAATATAAGAAGCGAAGGCTTTGCTGTATGGATGATTTGAGCTATGTTAAGAATCTACCATTAGTCCATTTTCAAGTCTTTCTATTTAATTAGAATATACTACAATAGAAGGAAATAGGTAAAAATCTCAAGGATCTATGAAAGAATGATAATGTAGCATAGCCAGAAAGAAATCAGCCTAATCTAGGTAAGTTTGAAGGGGAACCGTCTGCCTGATGTTCTTGAGTCTGATACTATTAATTTTGACTGTAGTAGATTCTGTATTAGCCAGAGTTCTCCAGAGAAACCAAACCAGAAACAGAGAGTGGGGGGCGGGAGCGGGGGAGAAAGACAGAGACTTATATTAAGGCATTGGCTCACAGGATTATTGAGGCTTGGCGAGTTCAAACTCTGATGTGGGAGGCCAACAGGCTGGAGACCTAGGGAAGAGTGGCAGTTTAAATCCAAAGACACAGCTCTTGTGTCGCCGGGAAGCTTTTGCTGGGTTACTGGCGTCATGGACCCACCTCGGCGTGTTGTCTTGTCGCCAGGCCCCTGGTGCACCCCAGCGGCAGGCAGAGCTCACGGCCATGCCTTCGCCCCACCCGCTGCTGGTCCAGGGTCCGGGCACCGCGTCGATGGCGGCTCCGCAAAACATTGGACCCGGCTGCAGCCCGTGTCCTGAGCCGACTGGACTATAACATGAGGCATCTGCGCCGCTTCTGCCGGGCCCAAGTGGTGCGGGGTTTTGGCCGTGGCTCCAGGCAGCTGGGCATCCCCGCAACTAATCTTCCTGAACAAGTTTAGTAGCTAATCTTCCAGTTGATGTATCCATCGTCATTTATTATGGTTGGGCCAGGGTTGGAAGTGGAGATGGCCTTAGGTGGTGGTGAGCATAGGATGGACCCCTACCACAAGAATACGAAGAAGTCCATGGAAAGGCTTATCCCGCATACCTTCAAAGAGGACTTCTATGGGGAAATCCCCAATGCGGCCATTGTTGCCTACCTCAAACCAGAAAAGAACTTTATTTAGAGTCACTTATTTCAGCAATTCCCGGCGACATTGAGTAGGCTAAGAAACAACTAGATTTACCAGAACATTTGAAACTCAAGACAATTTCTTCCAGGTTTCTAAAAACAAAATAATGAACAGCCCCTGATGAAAAAAACATATTATTTATTCATTCACTGTTTTCTAGTATTTTAGTGTTTATTACCATCTAGCCTCATCTTGGTTATATTTTAAAACTCAAACGTTTTCCTATAGCTGCGAATTAAACAGTACAATATAGTTACCATATCATGCTTCAGCTGTTAAATTAAGGCCAACATGTCATAGCACTAAAAAGATTCATTTAAAAATCAATATTTAAAAAAATATATTGATTAAAATGTATCACTAGAAAGGTATTACATGTCTTATAATGGAAGTGAAATGTATTGTAAGTACGGGTAAAAAGACAAATCACTAGTTTGAGATGAAAACTAAAATTTTCATGGTAAAATACCAACATGTATGTACTCGTGTAGTTTGTACTTCTAGACAGAGAAGGCTTGTAAAAGTAAATGCATTAAATAGAAGTTCAATAGTTTATCATAAACCTACATGGAATACACTTAGACTTTGTATTTTTGATATTTTGTGCATTAATATATTATTAGAAACATGAAGATGTTTGTGAATTTTTTTAAGTCATTTTCTTTGAAGTCACATCATTGTACCATCTTTATTTTTGTACAGAGCTGCTTCAATTCTATCATCTGGACCTCCCCTGCCTGTTTTTCTGTTTGTTTAATACAGTAAAATAAGTGTTTTTCAAATCTGTACATCTTTTTGTGGGATAACGCTTTTTTTTTTTTAAGAGTAAATATCCTTCTTCTTCAAAACAACAAACAACAACAAAAAAGGCAGTCTGGAGGCA